TTTGATATTTTGCTGGTATAACCAGGCCCCCATTTACAGGAACGCTTGGCTCATTGTCCAGGAAATGCACTTAAAGTAAGACACTTGTAGTAAATAGAGGTTCGGGGTAATTTAAGGACTTAGACCGTACACTTAATCACAGTCCACACGTCACGCTAAATGGGGGACAGTTCGCCTGTAGTTCGTGTACAATCAACTGAGTTTCACACGGTACATTTCAAACTTCAATAGTTGTAGTGTACATTATCACACAATGATTGGGTAGTGGGTACATTCCATACCTCCATACCAAGAGTAATCCTCGCGAGAAGTTGTGATCTCGCAGGATCTCGCTAAATTCTTCTACAATGTTCAATAAGGTGCTACGTAGCACAAAATACCACATAGTAGTAGTAGTAGTAATAAAGTAATAAGGTGCTCTCTCCCATTACACTAGAGTTTAAAATAAAGTGCTACGAAATGTGGTATCTACAAAAGTGCTAAAATGGTTCTGACATGCATGACTTACTAACACCTGCCCTCAATATGTTATCTTATTATCATCACGATGTTAAAATCATTATGGTGCACCTTATGTAATCATTACAGCTCATATACTAGTACTACACCATTACCTTATTAACATAATGTTAAAATCGTGATGAAATACATGGCTGATAACCGCTTTTATACGCGCACATGTTATCCATCTCTTTACATGACGATGATAGTTCTACTGAATGATCGTTATATTTATAAAGGAGTGGGTAGGAAGATTGTTTAAACCTAATAACGGTCTAGTATACAACACTAGATCTCCCCACCAAATATCGGTAGTATTTACTCAGGGCCATCATGTCTAGTTACTATCGTTTACTATGGTTACTGGTTACTAAGGCTACCTATGTAAGGAATGTTAAGGAATGGTAATTGGAGAGAAGCTGAGAAAAGAGTACAGCTGAAAATAGAACGGTCTTGAAAACAACCACAGATCACTTGCTAATTAGTTTACAAGATATCAATTAGTTTTGTTTAACCGGTAATTACGGAAGATCTGCTGTATTGTATACTAGATACTCTATTTTAAAGTACCCTTGTATTTTTGACAGTTCTACTGATCTATGAGCTGTACGGTGACGGTATGGAACAGTCTTGAAGACAACCAGAGATCAATTACATATGTCAAACTGCAAATTAGACGAGATCTGCAGTGTTGTGTATTAGACCGTCTCTTTTAGAGACTGATCAGTATTATAGAAGTAGCACTACAGTAGTAGTACAACAGTTTTTTGTTAAAGACTGACCTGTTGTATTATTGGTGAAGAAACGAGGACGAATACAGTACCACATTGTACCACAGTACCACTGTGTACCACTGTGTACCACAGTACCACTGTGCTTAATGACAATCGTCTTGAAAATGAAACAAATTAAACAGGGTGGCTCTGCGAGATGCCCGCTTGTTTTGATATCTGGGCCCTGGCAAGCGCATGGGATAAATATCAATATATTACTCGGTAAACACATTTCCAAGGAAAACCGTAATTGGAGAAAGCTTAGAGTTACTAAATTATAACCGTCTTTTCAGTAGCAGACTTGGTATTTGTATTTTAAATAACGAAGATTTTTGACGTGGAAAAGTTGAAATATCTGAATCTTTTGACTTGGTTTTTAAAAAGAAGGAAAACGGTAACAGTAGAAAATATTAGTAACCAAATAATGCTCTCTCCTCATTTTTATCTCTAAGCTCAAAGTCTCGCAGCTGTATGCAGTAGACTAGGTATGTGGATGTAAATAACAATTCTAGATACCAGATGTTTGATAATGAAAAGTTGAAAGGATGAAATTTGTTGCTGGCTATCTGTCAGTATTTGAGGCACCAGCAAACATCTACATCAAAGAGGTATCTCCTGTCAGGTGAGGTCGTATTTTAGGTGATATCTAACCAGGTCAATAAGCATATAATATATATAATATATCATATATAATATAATATATATATGATATGCGTATTTACGGCATAAAACATTAATTGAACAAGTACTTTTTCTGGTTATTTACGCCACTACTCGGGAAATACAATGAGGTTGTGGTGTAACTAAAACAGCTATTGTAACTATAGTACCTAACTAAAACTCTAAAACAGCTATAATTGGTGATAAAAACAGACTATTGAAGGAATTTCTCAATCAGGACCGCCACACATTCCAGCTAATTCGTGAAACAGGCTAATTATAAATTAGTAATTTCTTGTAAAATTAGTAACTTCTCGTTGATGGGAATCTCTTGTTTCAGTGTAACTATAGAACTCGGTGCGTGTCACTATCTTGTAACGTGTGTGACCAGTTATCAGTAAAAAGTAGCTGCTTTGTTTGTAGCTATATTTGTAGATAACAGGTAATAACAGGTAATAACCGGTAATAACAGGTAATACCGCCTCAGTAATCTCATTACCCGCTACCAATCACAGGTAGATTACTAAAACCTGTCTAACAGCGTGGCTCTATAAATTCAATTATCTCCAATCAGTTAGTATGAGGTTTACATTAAACTAGTCCAGGTTGCTAATTCTCACTGGTCCAGGCAAGGGACTAATTACTACTTGACATATTACTTCACAGTCAGACCGTACTGTTTCTTGAGTTTAATTAATCACGTGGGCTTAATTAATCACGTGAGTTTAATTAATCACGTGGGCTTAATTAATCACGTGGGCTTATAAAGTGCGGAAAATGTGGTTTACTGTGAGTATTATAAATAATCTGGTTTTGATAATATTGTATTGAAGTATAAATTATTGTTCTCTTTACAGGAGTTCCTATTGTCATATCATATTAAAGTATTAACTAACATTAAAACCCAATTTACTATACCTCTATCTTCTCTTTCTCTACCCCATCATTTTGGAAAAATGTAGAAATTTTAAGTTTAATCTCACCAGATCCACTGAAATACGGCTAATGAATCCATGATCTCAAGTGAGCTTCCAGGCTCGTTACTTCCCTAATTACTTGAGTGCTTGTAAACCATAAACCCTAATTTGGAACCAGTATAACTGTGCGGCGAGAAACTCAATAGTCAAAACCCAGATTTACTGTACTATATCCCCAAACTGTACGGTTTTACTAACTGTATACTGTCAGTATACTGTCAGTAATACTGACAGTATTTCGACTGAATGGTTTACGTGCTCACTATTCTATTATGATGGTTATAATTATACAACGTCAGTGAGGCCCCCTACAACTTGTTGTACAAAGTTAAACATAAAGACTTAATTATTTAATTAGCAAAGTCGTTTGTTTAACTAAAATCACCATGGTGACAGGAATATTGTGAAGTGTATTGATAAAATGGTGGCACTGAGTAGTCTGTCCTGCCAATAAAGTAGAATTATCAAAAAGGGATACATCATGGCACTCTTATCAATTAAAAACCAATTAACTAATTAAATAATCAGTATTAATTGATAAGTCTACTGAATTCATGAGAAATATGAGAAATTACTACCTTCGACTCCAGACTGCATATATATCCTCAATAAACTTGCATGGGAAGCAGCGAGAAAATAGGAATACGTAGTCGAAAAGTCAGCAACTTTAGCCTACTGTACAAGTATTTAGCTCGTTCTTGGAAATTACTAGATTATATTTGGTAGGTACGAGCATGTTTTCAGACTATAATAATTTGTTTCTTTTAGAGTATGGATAAGCAAGTGGATTGAGATTTTCTTGAAGTAAACAATGTATTCCTCTCTGATAAATACCATTTTATTTCCAGAGAAACTCAAAGGAGAATAAAATTCGAATTTCAAATTCCCTTTTTTCAAAGCTTTACACTCTAGAATTTCACTGAACGTGTAAAAGTGTCAACTTGGATCGTTCCTCCAGTACGAGCTTTCTCAAAACAACCTTTTAGCCAATTTGTACACCCAGTCACCCACTGATCCTATGATAAAAGCTGCTAAAGCAAGAATTTGAACATCCTAAAACTTGAAAGCTTCTCCGCTACTATTATACCAAATAAGCACTGTTCCCAGTGCATAGCTGTCACTGTTCAAATCTCCTGGCACTGGTTTTCATTGGGTGGATTTCATCACGTGACGTATCATAAAGTACTGAGATAGTGGGTTATGAGTCACGTGATCCATTGGTCACGTGATGAGAGTGAGATGATTTAGATGGTTATCTCTTTATTGTAGCAGCTTTAAAACCCTGGCTCGAGCAACGGCTTGATAAAGCATTTGTTGTCATAACCACAAATCCATAAATGGATCAGTTTATTATAAACGGGTAATCAACTAAAAAACCGATTGAATTTGGGAATCTGAAATTATCCACCGTAAAGATTTATCTTAAACTCGGTATCTTGCAACAGTAAAGATAAACTCGGTCAGATAGTTGTTACACCTGTGAAATGTGATGTGTAAACCATACTGTTAAAAGTACCTTTCGTAAGTAAAACACGCTAGAAACTAATAAAGCATTACAGTTTGTATGTAGCACATGTAAAACTCGCTAGATGCTAATAAAGCATTACAGTTTGTGTGTAGCACATGTAAAACTCGCTAGATACTAATAAAGCATTACAGTTTGTGTGTGTAGCACATGCTCCGTTTTTAAAGAAGTTCTGCTAAACAGCTTGCAATAAGCAATTCATTTATTGCATACATTTTACTTGCATACATATCCAACATATCACTAAGATATTAAATACCAAGACTGCAACAAAATTGAGAAGTTTATCGAAAATTTGAAGTATTGAATCAAAAGAGTGAGTTACTCAATTGTAGTTCCTCAAAAGATTGTACCATTACATTTCTACAATCTTGCATACAATTATATCTTGTTTCATCCCCCAATTAAAGTTAGTTGCTTTCAATTAACCCAAATCAAAATATTGCAAATACAGGGGATGCTCAATGAAGGGTCAAACCACTAAATAACCGTACCCAAATCAAAATATCGCAAATACAGGGGATGCTCAATTAAAGGTCGAACCACTCAGCTATATAACCGTACCTTAAAGTAACATTTAGAATGGGAATTTTTATTCCACCAGGACAATAATTATCTGTACATTCAACTGGTTCAGTGACTCTGAAAACAAGTGAGAGGGTGTGTTAAAAGTAAGGGGAAAGGTGTAAAGGAGGGTGTAAAGATGTCAAGGGGTGTATAATCTTATAATGAACATAAAGACGTGGGCAGATCATGGAGGATTGGTGTGGTAAAATTGGTGAGGAAGGGTTATGAGGTACAGACGAAAATTCATTGTATTGAGGTTTAGATCTGAATAATTCTGAGGAGGCGAATCATATTTGTTCTAACACGTGACAGTGATTAACCGATCAGCTTCCAACATTGACCAATCAAAATCTAGAAACTCTGTCATGTGTGAAAACAAATAATATTTAGTTGCCCGCCCACCAGCATCAATATCTATAAGAAAGTAAACATTACTCACGGTATTATTCCCTTATCAAGGTCTGGTAAACAACACTTATTTGGTTCTTCTAGTGTGGCGCAACATTCCTTGTTAACCTCACAGCTGAAAAAACATATTCTTATGCCACCAACATTATGGAGACCGTTTTTTCATTCAAAGCGATTAATGAAAAGTGATTAATAAATGATGAATGATTAATGAAATAATTCATCAAACTAGAGTAGACCAAGCTGTTTGACAAAAATGACTTACTAGTAAGTTTCCACATCTCCTTCAATGTTCCTGATGGTCGATTCACAGGCTTTATATTCCTCATCATATGACAGAACAATAGTGATCCATGATGCTGCAAGGATCAGATAGCTCATTTTATATCTTCAGATTACATCTTGTAGTAGTGAGCCATCCTGAGGAAGGTTATTAATATCATAAAATGAATTTAACATAGCACAGAACTCAGAAGGACCGAAGTACATAAATAATCAATGAATCAAAAAATGTTCAGTGAAACAAAAACTTTTAATTAACATTCCTTTAATGAAAAGTGGTCCATTTTAGTGAGACAGGGTCAGTTTCTCTATGATCTTAAAAATTTTTACATTACAGTAGGCAATACTGAGTGGCAGGAATAAGGGACCAAAACGCTTGGGACTAAAAATGGCCTATTTTCAAACCACTTCAGACATGCCAATGATATCATTTATGCTTGATTTGTCTGAAACTTTCCCTATTGCACTTCTAGTGTTCTATAAAAATCGCTTAGCTGAAATCTTTATCAGGTATCAAGAATGCATAGAACTCGAAGCAAAACAATAAAAAATGTTCCTAATGTATATTATATTAAAATGGGACTGCTGCAAATTATATTCTAAAGTTTTAATGACTACAGCTTTTGCAACCTTCAGTAATATATCAATCAATCAAATAGTTGATAAATTAAATGTCATTGCAATAACAATCAATTTATTTATGTAATACAGAACTATGATAGACTAAATTATTCTGATTTATAGAAGAAATAAAGAGATTCCCTCATAATTATAGATACATAGATACCCATCGATGCCATCTAAAGTTGACGAATAAATGGGCAAAATGGACATCACTATCATAACTTTTCGGTGAGAATCAAAAGATTGAAAAATAAATATTTCTGGAACCATACTCTAAGGAGCTGCAATTATGGCTGTACTTACCACTTTGACGACGGCAAAAACTATGGTGATGTTTACTTTCATGATAACTCAATGCTCCAGTTTGAACTGTTTCTATGCCCATGCTCATTCGACCAAAAGCGTCTGCTAAATTGTGCTCCTCTGATATTATCTAATATGTATGTTTTTTATGACGAACCAACTCTGCAACCTGGTAGTGTGGCTGGCATGAACTCAAAATAATTGAGCCTGCCAAAATAGTTGAGCCTGCCTTGCTTTTGCATAACTCTTCATCGTCCACACTCCAAAAAATCGACTGGAGGACTCTATATAAATATTCGATTGGCAGAAAGAAGCACTAATAATATAAGCAATTTTGATACCATGCTACACAACCTGAAATTTTAACAAAATTTGTTATTTTTGACTAATAATTTCACCAATCTGGTATTGCTTTACTTAACTAGATTTTTGGTTTGCTTCCCGATTAAGTACAATTAACAAACACTTGCACATTGGCTGCGTGGCCCAGGCTTACACTGAAATTTAACATCATCACAGCTTATAGAACCACTTCTTTGAAATGGAATATTATCAATATTATATACTATATTGTATTGATTGTGGGTATAAAATAAAATCTTTGTTGCTATGTTTTTATTAAAAACCTCTGTCCAACCAATAATAAAAACTGTCAGAACAACTTAATAACGACTATTTTACATTACCGCAAAATTTCACCAGAGAAAGTCTTCTGAATCAGTTAAACAACATTTGCCGCAGTGAGCAGCACTTTGGCCCTCCTGTGACTATTAGTATACAATGTATCGTGCTACAATAAAACTGGGCCGCGCCGCGCGCATCAATAACGCTTCTCGCAACCACATTTGCGATCACTTTGTTAAATTAGCTTACCTGGGAACCTCAGGCTATTATGTTCATAAACAATAAAGATTAGGCGGAATGACAGGCTGAGCGCGGGCGCGGCCCAGTAAAAATTAGCATACCTAGCTTGCTAGTCTATTGTTTACTTTTTTCATGTATTCAATTCTTCTTTTACGCTTCTGGCTTCGCACTTTTCTCTTGTTCACGAACCTTAAAAAGAGTACTGCACACATGGCACACGGCGCGGACTGGCGTGCGAAATAAAAAATCAGAAAGAGCAAAATGCAGTATTGGGCCACACCAAGCTGCAAAAGATTTACGTCGTCAATCAAGGATCAGTTTGGTTTTATAACAGCATATGAACATAAATTGCATTTTATTTGATAGTACTTGTGAAATTTATTTAAAAATGTGCTGCTCTTAAACTCAGGTTATGCATATTTAATATTGTAAAACATAAATTTTAGGTGTTAAGTTAACTTAAAATAACTTAAATTGTCAATTTCCCAAAAAAAGCTCGCTTTAGACGTGTATCATTTTTCAAAATTAGTGGCTGTCAAACCAATATGCTCATTTGCGCGCTTTAAAAAATTGACTGGACACTACAATGCAGTACAAAGTAAGTCGCGCAGGGCATGACTGGTTTACAAAATTTTTGAATACTTTTACAAATATGAAATTATCCTAGCTCAATATATTTAAATCATATCGAAGCATTTTTTTAAACGTTTTATTGAATTTTGCATCGATCTAAAGTAATTTTTAGTGATTTAAAATCAATTGTTACATATTCAATGAAACAAGAAATTCAATGAAACAAGATATTTAATTTTAGCACATTTTACAGAATAAGAGATGTAAAATAATTCATAAAATATAATGCCCATTTGGTGTATGACTTTTTGTTCTTGACTGCTAGTTTGGTTAATTTGGAAGGACAGGTAACTCACTACACGGGACAAGGAATGTATGTGCCTGAAAGCTTTTGCACACACCGAAACGCTAGTTCAGTTAAGTTTTTAGAGACAAGGCTCATATTAAGACTAAAAGACTATTACGGTCAAATTTGTTAACAATAGCAAGTGCAATATAAATACAAGTTTAAATTAAAACAGAGATTATTGTCAGATCGATCTCCCACACTTACAGCTGTGACGTTCGACTGAAGTTATACTTAGTGGATTCTACCAAATGTCATAATCCTTTGACACATGGATCCTTTTTATCACAGCTTTATTCACAGTTACCTGTTCAATGTTTATTGTTTCAAGACATTAAGCAATAAAATCTTAACATTGAACATTGTTACTAATATAATTTGGTCTCCAGTCTCAACAGTAGCAGGGGATATACCTGCATCTAGGGTCAATCAAGGGTCAAGTTTAAATACCAGATTTGTTTCAGCTTATTCAAAGCTTAAAAACCTCCTGTACCTTAAAAGGTCATGAAGTGCTTGTTTGGTGGGGGTCTAAACTGCTTTTTGTTGTGATGTGAATTTGTGGATTTTATTTTTAGTTGACCACTTTTATATTACAAAGGGTTATATTTTTTTGTACCCCAGTTTTTAAAATTTGTACCATTTTTATTGCTTTTAATCTATTGTATTGGTCTATTCATTTTTCGAGGGTGTCTACAGTGGCGTAACGTTGCCTGTTGGCGCCCCCTGCCGAAAAGGCGCCCCCCTGTTGGCGCCCCTCTCCTTTTGGTGCCCCTCCCTAAAATTGAACAAATTAGGCGATTTAAGAGGATACGCCGGTAAAATCTCTATAAAAGTGTGTATCTAGAGCAAAACGCGCAGTTTTGCTAGTACTTTAGTTAAGTTTTCGAAATTGTCCCACATTCAAATGACGATTTGGCGCCCCCCTAAGACGGCGCCCCCCTGCACAGCGGGGTCAGCAGGGCCCTTCGTTACGCCACTGGGTGTCTATCCTTATAGCAAAGTAAAATAAAGTAAAGTAAAAATTATGACATAACATCATCACTAATGTTTACAAAGTATCATCACACTACATGGAAAAATAAATATTTCTCCATCAAATTTAAAGGTAATAATTTATCAAATATTAATCATGAATAAAAACAACATTACAAAATTTAATTTATTCATACTTCCCAGTGGAGTAAAGATTTATAAAACGTTTCTTTGCTACATAAGGATGGAACCCCAGATAATCATTGTGTTTTTCCTTATTACTGATATAAGTTAAGTTAAGTTAAACAAGGATCTGAAACTACTAGGTTCCGTATAGACTCAACTCTGCACCCGTGTCAATATGTTCATTATATGCAAGCCTCTTGATTTATAACTGGTACCTTCAATTCTTGTTAAAACTTCTTTCGAAACATTCCAAAAATGAAAGTCATTTACAATACATTTAGAAATCATATTCTTTTTTCGACAATTACCATTGCTGAAATTATCTGTATTCTGTTTGAAACATTTTATTAGTGCTTATTCAAAGCTGAAGAGAATTAGGTGACTGTATTTTGTTCTAATGTTGATATTAATATTACTGTAGTAAGTTCTAGTTGTTACTCCTTTTGTTTTAACGTTTTTATGGTACTCTCCTTAAATTATTTTAATGCAGTCACTCAGATGATTTTTAAATCAGGACACTTAAATAAAGACACATACTCTGCCCACAATAAGGGGCCATAATTTTTAAATTATGTAACAGTATAGATTTATTATTATTATTATTATTCAAAGCTGCTCTAGTTTATAATAAGCGTTTGATCTTAACTTCTTTCTGTACTATCCAATTCCATGTTATTGGAGTAACTTGTTCCTTTTGATTCAGAACTGCACTCTGTGTGTCTCACTCATTAACTTCTGGATTCACAAGATCTAGCAACTAGACATACAGTAAAGTAAATGCAAAGCTTACAATCACCTCGTTTTCCAGCATGTGCATGATGAACAATAATGTCAGTTGTTTGTTTTCAAAAATATCTATTGTTGTTATGAAGAGGAGGCCAAGATTCTTATTATGCAAGAATGTTCTTGTGATTGAAGTTATCGTTAGCCTCATTGAGAATATACAGTGTGGCACAGAAGTCATAAAATGAGATCTTTTTGAGCTAGGAACCATACCAATGGTGTAACGTTGAGAAAAGACAATTTTTCATGTCAAATCACTAATCAGGCTAATGTGCAATAATGAGCTTCATTAGTCTGCAACCAATCAAGCAATGCAACAGACTGTTGATCATAATATAATGACGAGATCGTTGATTTAGGCACAAGATTACAAATACTCCAGATTTCTGAATAGTCATGTGATTTTATAATAGTTTCGTGGGTTCCACTGGTTTGCTGGAGAAGCTGATTGGCCAATCATGATAAGGTCAAATGGGTCCCACTAACAAATTAGTGGGACAATAATAGTCCAACTTGGATTATTTTACATTCTATTATAACTTGCTGTACTGAGAATATTATTTATTTCCTGCTGTGATTAGCAATTTGTATGTTGATTAATCAATAAAATCAACAATTTTAGTTTGATATGCCTCTTCCTGGGTCTTTCAAGAAAGTATTCAAAAAGAAAAACGTCTCTGATCCAAGCATTCTTAAATACAAAGACCAAGATTATAATGTTGTAAGTACAAAATAATTAGCTCATTTTTTTAGCCATCAGCTGAAAAAATAAAATGGGAAGAGTCTCGGATCCCAGCATTCTTAAATACAAAGACCAAGATTATAATGTTGTAAGTACAAAATAATCAGTTTCTTTTCTTTATCCATCAACTTGAAAAGATGAAATGTTAATTTTTAGTAAAATTAATTTTTCATGGTACTGTATGGCTGAAGTGTAACGCTTGATTTATATTATATAATAATTAATTGAATTTTCAAATAAAAAAATAAATATTTAATGAATATTATTACTATTTCCCGCTTCTACGGTCCTACACACTATCTGTTATTACGGTTCTACTAACCTGCAGATAAGAGATCAATGTTTGGCTAAAGGAGAACTCTGGACTGATCCTGAGTTTGGACCTAATGATATTGCGCTATGGGAGGGAGAACCAAAGATACAGGGCATTGAATGGAAACGACCCAGGGTACGATTGTTATTAAGTCAACAAATTATTATTTAGAATCACATGAGGGCACAATGATGCTTCAATTGCAAACAAAAATATAATATATGTGACCTAAGTTCCAATGTGATATTTAGCATAATAATCAATACTCCCTTTCCAGGACATCAACCCCGAGGCCAGGATGTTTGTTGACGGTGTAAGTGCAAAGGATGTAGATCAAGGTCGTCTTGGTAACTGCTGGTTCGTTGCATCTGTGGCTTGCATTGCTCAGGATCCTCTACTTCTCAACAAGGTAATTACATTTCTGATCTATCTTTGTGTTCTTGTTAGTTTGATGAAGTAGTTAGATTGATGGAGCCATCATATTGTGATGGGGGCCAGAGTAAGAGTCCAGAGCACTTGTAACATGGATAGTGGATACTACTGGTTTCCCCAATCATATAGTGGAGTCAATTCTGTTTACCTGTGCCTGCTAAACCAGTCTGAGCATTTCCCCAGCCTAAACATTCTTTGTTGCCATTGCTGGCATATAATTCTACATATTGTTTGATGAAAGTTTCAAATTATGACATGTAGACCACTTGACTGGGAATTCAATAGTTCAAATTTGACTGCCGTAGACTCCGAAAAAGAGTGCGAAGTACTTAAGAAAGAATTCTATGAGGCCAAGTAGTGCTCAAGCCTATCATTGCCATGCGAACCATTGTTTTATAGATGAGGTTCATGAATATCTTGGAATCAAAGGTTGGATCTGTTCTTTGAGGTAGCAAAGACCTGCAAGGTCATCTCCTTTACCAATATGTGCTTTGAGTGGAGACTCTCACTGCGTCCGCAAAAATCAAATATTGTGTGCTTTTATCATAATGTGAGGAAAGCACTGACATCCTCCTGGTTTAAGATAAACTAAAGACTTCCAGATCCTTTTCTGGGTTGGATCATGAATGCAGCAAGGTACTCCGTACTTTCCATCGGAACTTTCATAGCAGTGGGGTCCATAAAGCATCTTGAAGTGTTAATCTTGTGATGAAAGACTTCAAACTTCTCTTGATGAAGGTCCGTATTGTTTCGGTTGACCAAAAAGTGATAGTGTTCAGGTTTTCCTATTGGAGGTAAGAATTGTAAGGAGGTGAGTTTTTGTGCGTTTGTGTGTGCGCGGGGCGTGAGTGTAGGCATATTTTGAGTACATGAGATTCAACTACTCATAAAGTGAAATATTATTATGTAAATTTTGCTGACCCATTATTGTGAATTTTCACATTATCATAGCTATAGCATATATCCTGATCCATTTAAGTAATTTTGTATGCATCTTTGTGCATTTGTGAATGCACAAAACGCAAGTGTAGGCATTTTTGAGTCAACAAGATCCAATTACCCATAAAGTGAACTATCGCTGTATATTTTGCTGATCCTTTATTGTTAATTTTAATCATAGCCTAAGATTCAAATCCATCATAAAAACTAGAACTGGATGATGTTTCTTTAAACTATATCGTGATTAGCCTCACATTATTTAATATTCATGTATTCAATGTTGATATTTCTTTACTCAAAATGCCATTTTTAACGCATATGATGTCTGATATTCTTCATAATGACATTGTACTCTGCACTACAAAAATATTAATGTGCTGCACTAATCAATGATAAAGACTAATGTAAATTAGAGTGTCCGGATAACCTCTCGAGTCTCGACTACTGAATAATATTTAATGATACAAAATATTCAGCGAATGGTATAATTACTAAATACCTATGGGACGCTGCTGAATATTAATTAATCCTTAATATTTAGCTAATAGTGTAATCCGGAATGTTGCTAAATTCCTAACATTTGCTAAATTCCTAACATTTGCACTCTACTTAATATGTATAACGTTAGTGTACACTACAAGAATGGTGATGGTAAAGTAATAATATAGCAGGGCCAATGGGTGAGAAGCTGGTTAATTGAAACATCCTAGATAGGTGATAAACAGTTTTACTATTTACTCCGTTGTTTCTCGGAATTGTAAACTTTAGAAAAGAAATAAATGTTTGAAATTTCGAACATGTATAATATAAACCGTGAGGAATTTATGGCTTGTCCTTGATGAATATATAAATTGCATTCATTTGAACAAGATTTGACATAAATTCAAAGTTTCATGAAATTAGTATTCAAGTTGAAGACCGCACCATGACACAATTTCTCGATGAAGTGACCATATTGTGGTTGCTAAATTGCGAATTTTCATTTTGAAGATGCTAAATCGCCATTTCATTCTAAATGCGTCTGGAGATGAAGTCTCTTTTGCTAGGTCCTAATGTGAAGGAAAGTAAGGCTCTGTAGATCTACCATGTGTTTTGTAGCTTGCATGACATGAAACCACACGCGCACACCATCAAGACAGTAAGGTTGAGAACATGAGAAAATCAATCGTATTTTCAAAGTTTTTACATGAATCACTTGAACTAAATTCATCAAATTAGTATTCAAGTATTCAAACCGCATAGCATGACATAATTTGGTTAATTTATATGACGTTTCCTGTCCTACATGCGAAACTACTGTAAAAATATATTTTGCTTTCTGTAGATTGTGTAAAAAACCACTAAACGGTCCCGCAAAATTCTATTAAAAAGAAAAACGGGTACCTCGGATGAAAAAGTCCAAATTTGTAAACATATTTATTTCGATTTAGTTAGGCTGCTGAGAAACAACAGTGTTACACGGTGATTATTAATGAGCTTTTCGCTAACACTGCGCCGGCAGTAAACACTTCGAGTGAGGGGCACACCCATCGTTAACAGTCTTTGTTCTGAAGAAATCTGATATTGCTGAAATCTCTGTGTGCAATACACCATCTGGCCATCTCACAAGACCGTGTATCATAGTTGTAAAACATTGCAAGCAGGGTCACATTATGATATTGATAACGAGCATAGTATGGAAGACTGACAGTGACTGTCAGTGACTGACTGACAGGCAGTGACTGACAGTGACTGGTAGTGACTGACTGACTGGCAGTGACTGACAGTGACTAGCAGTGACTGACAGTGACTAGCAGTGACTGACTGACTGGCAGTGACTGACTGACTGGCAGTGACTGACTGGCTGGCAGTGACTGACTGACTGGCATTGACTGACAGTGACTGGCAGTGACTGACTGACTGGCAGTGACTAACAGTGACTAGCAGTGACTAGCAGTGACTGACTGACTGGCAGTGACTGACTGGCATTGACTGACAGTGACTGACTGACTGACAGTGACTGACTGACTGGCAGTGACTGACAGTGACTGACTGACTGGCAGTGATAAAACAATTGCTATTAGTCAGCTACCCGCTGCTGTGTTTGTGTTTCACCTGTTTACTAAACAGGACATTGGCATGCTAACTGCAGGTTATACACATTATTTTGTTGCTTATACACATATTGTAATAAAGCTGTTGCTTATGTTACTCGCACAAGATGGTTAATATGTATAAAGACAAGTCGTCTGTGATCTGACAAAACATTGAACTTTCTGGTGACTATCTGCCTCTTTTACTAAATGGCTGTTCTACTACCTGTCTGAGATGGTACGTCATGTTAAAACTAATAGAAAGAATTATTTATATTATGATAAATTTTAAATTTACAGCCAGTCAATACATAGAAACTAAACGTTGGACGTACAATATGACGTGATAGTGTAGAAACTAAACGTTAGACGTACATAACGTGAGAGTGACATTTCGACGGGGCATAAACAGAAATCGAGTAAAATTATGAGTAATTTATAACTATCATAATTTATGTAAAATAATGAGTAATCACAATTTATCACATTAGTGTTATTTCTCATCAAACAGATCACTACATGATACATTTCCAGGAACTTATTTTTTGTGGGGCTTTATTCTAACCTTTCACCAGGTTTTCTAACTCTGTATTTTTGACAAGGTTTCATCTTGTTTATTGTCCTTTAACATTGTGTTTAATGTCCGTTATTTAAATGTGTAATGTTCGTTATAAATTAGGCGTAAAACAATAATTCAATTGCAATTTACATAACAACTTGAAGCCGTACTACCATCTTTTAAAGTCTAAAGACGGTGCGTTAAGTTTAATGACATTGTCATTTGTCATATAGGTGTAAAATCTGTTTAGGTTCATTGGTCATTGAGCGGTTGTGGAAACCTACCAACCGTTACCATATTTGGTCATCAACATCACCATATTTGGTCATTAACAACTCAAAGTCATTGCTCCTGACACATTATATGTTTAAATATTATTATTCTAAGTTAAATTACTCCGGTGACTATATCAACTATTTGATCGAATTGAAGATCAGTAGTCAGAGCTCCCTGCTCCGTGCGCAGCGACATAATGACAAATATACGATTATGTTTATTTAAATCACTCTATTAAGTAGCGCGTACTGAAAAGTGAGATCTTGAGTAGTGAATACAGTCTAACATTGCTTAGTGTTAGAAATGGATATAGTTTAGAGTATTAAGGATAAGTATTTGTCGGCTAGTATAGTCCCTTGGCACAGAGTAGCTTAGGGTTATCAAAAAGGAGATAAGCACCTCAGGCCATCCCAACTTGTGGGAAAGACCTGCCCTTGTATCTTGTTGTTGTATTAAGGATAAATGATAATGAACTAAGTCTACAGAAGTCTAAGAATTTAAGCGCATAGGGATATTTCTAGCGAGCAGGTAACACGTGACAAGTTACACTACTTTACTAGCGAGCAGGTGACACTTGACATTGAGCTGGTAAGTGGTAACACATGACATTGAAAGTTACATTACTTACCGTTCTCATTACCTTAGACGTTAGGATGGACCTTTCTCAGGTAACATTTCAACAAATATCAACATATTTCAACACGTCTTACTATTTCAACATCACTAAAGAAGTATATCTGTACAGCTCAGCAAGAAAATGCAGTACAAAATGCAGTACAGCCGATGAATAGAATCGACTTTTCAAAGTTTGTTGAATGAAAGTCAGGTCCTTTTGAATCTTCAATTCAGACAATATATCCATACTAGTGTAACACACGTACACACACATTTATTGGGATTATTAGTATAGATTATACAGTTTCTAAACTCCCTAACTAGCTAGATGGTATTAAGAGGACATGAATCATGAATGAGTTCAAGTCTAGACTCTGTTATTCATTATTTTTCATTACAATAATTCTGTCTAGAGTCATTAAGACATTAATCACACCGTAATTGAAACAGTATCGACACAAACTAAATATCACATACTTTAGATCATTAGTTACTAGTTTATAAACTTCCTGGAGGTGCCTCCTCAGTCTTCAAGTTGTATTAATTACGTTACACGGTTCCAAGCTAGCTAGATTGAGACTTTTTTGAAATCTAACTTAATGAGAGGGTTATTAGCCTTATCCTGGGGAATTACACACAAATATTTGTACTCTTTATATGTGAGAAATATAGAGGAGTTAGTCAATCAACTGAACAGTAAACATGAACAATGAACTGTGAATAACTATACTAACTAAACTTAAAAGTAAAACTACCAGTAGTTGTTCAAAATTGGTTATAATAATTAATTATATAATCACCTAATTGAACATGAACAATTTTAATATTTTATCGAGTAATAATTAAGATTAATAATTGCAGTCACTCCATGAATAGTGCCACGTATATTCTATGTATAGCCATTAGCCACCTGTTGGCTTTTACACGGTACCTGTTACACGGTACCTGTTACACGGTACCTGTTACACGGTACCTGTTACACGGTACCTGTTACACGGTACCTGTTACACGGTACCTGTTACACGGTACCTGTTACACGGTACCTGTTACACGGTACCTGTTACACGGTACCTGTTACACGGTACCTGTTACACGGTACCTGTTGCACGGTACCCCGTTACACGGTACCTGTTACACGGCACCTGTTACACGGCACCTGTTACACGGTACCTGTTACACGGTACCTGTTACACGGTACCTGTTACACGGTACCTGTTACACGGTACCTGTTACACGGTACCTGTTACACGGTACCTGTTACACGGTACCTTTTACACGGTACCTTTTACATGGTACCTTTTACACGGTACCTGTTACACGGCACCTGTTACACGGCACCTTTAACACGGTACCTGTTACACGGCACCTGTTACACGGCACCTGTTACACGGTACCTGTTACACGGTACCTGTTACACGGTACCTGTTACACGGCATAATGCATATGTATACAATATAAAATATATAATAGTGTGTGTCATGTAAAGCTGCAGCTAGAAACTGTTAAAACCCGCAGGAGCTCTGTAGCTGTAACCAGCTGTAAACTCTTTATAAAAGTGCACCTGTATATTTATTAAAAGTGCACTCTGAGGATATTAGTTATTTAAGGCGTCAACCTCACTGAAAGGTAAGTTTAGTAATATGTCCTACAGTACAGTTTACAGCTTCTTTTAGAGCAAGGAAGTGCTCAACTGCAGGGGAGGTACGGTAGGGGGGCTTCAATCTTCATAATATGTCCTACAGTAAAGTGCAGTCATGTATTATACTTCATATAAATATTATAATTATATGTTATCATATGTTAGTATCAGTAAAGACGTGTAGTTATATATCATTATAATAGTATATACTGCATTAGATCATAACATGTTATAATTAATATTATATTATAATAATCACACCTTGTAGCTCCATGTATAGTGCAACATATCGTTAAAACTAGTTCTAACACTGTATTTTTAAAATAAAGAAAACTCTAAAGTTTTAACCGTATAATTCAGTCAATGTGCTCGTTATATTATTCTACAATGTGCTCGTTACACATCTCCACAGCTTTATTATGCACTATACTGGTTACACAGCTAGTGCTATTTGCACTTTACTGGTTTCTTCCGCTGCTGGCTTGCTGGCTTTAATGATAGAAATTAGCCCGATGACAGGTGTACCAAGCTCTAAAATTGTGTGTTCTGGAAAATTCTTTTACTTCCAATTACTGCGGAACATTTTGGACAGAGACGTCAAAATATTGAATTCAAAAATGAAACCCTTTAACGGTTCCAACAAGGGCATAATAAAACCTATAGGCGCCCGACCTACCAGCCTTGTCTGTTCTATGACCCTAACTTCTGCTACTAGAGTACTAGAGTACTAAACTTATTGATATAGTATTTTCACCTTAAGGGGCATACACCAAAACTGCCAACCCAAATGACCTAGCATAGAATTTTTGTGGTATGTTAAGGGTGCGCTAGATGGTTACTGAACTTCCTATGAGGTCATTTGGGTTGGCAGTTTTGGTGTATACCCCTTAAGTTGGCCCCTGGGAACAGAATTGATTATTGACAGAGGGTGTAATTTTCAGGGGCAAACTGAAACTTAACTAGCATTATTAGTATCTGACTTTAACCTCTTGCAAACTGAAACTTAAAGCATTATTAGTATCTGACTTTAACCTCTTGATGCCGCGTGTTTGCAACTCTAGTTGTCCAGATGTTTGTGTATAACTCTGTTATTAAGTGTTAAGTGTGATTAAGTGTTGTTCACTGTTAAGATATGTGATGGAGTGTGTACTGTGTGCAGTGCAATGTAAAGCTTGTTAAACAACGTACGATAAACACATAAACATGACAAGCAATGTACAGCTAAGTTATAGCTCTGTGTGGACAGAACAACACTGTATAACAACATTGAACAACACAGAACAACACTTAACAACACAGAACAACACTGTATAACAACACTGAACACCGCCATTCTGTCGTAGCTCATCAAATATTGAATTACGTAAATAAAGGTATTTATTATATAATATTATATATAAATATACTTATATATAATATATATTATTTTTGTAGTAGTTGTACACTATACAGCAATACTTACCCCCCAGTTCCTAATAATTTGGCATAATATCCGCTATGGAACTGGGGGGTAAGGTAATGGGACTACTGCGGACCCTCTACCGGCCGCAGTCATCGAAGTCTGTAAGAAGATGACGATCAAACCTCATTATATATATATTATTTATTTGAATAAAGCTGTACTGATAGTAAGTTACATAATATTATTAAATACGTGATATTATTGTCATAGTCAACTGGCCTCTTAAAATTAGGATCCAATTAAATTGCTCAATAAAACGAGAAGATGTTGTCACCAGTAAATATCACCATTTATCAGAATTCAGATGATATCTAGCAGGGGCCAACACATTCGCTACTGAAACATATTTACCTCCTACATTCCTATATTCCTACATTCCTATATTCCTACAACTACAACTCTTTAACTGATGCAATTAGAGTGGTCTGCAGTGATAACTGATAGTCAGTAGGCACTGTGTGTAATCTAGATAAAATTAACTTAAGGAACACGCCAATTACTGTTCCTTAAGTTAATTTAAGGAACAATATAAAAGTATCAAGCCTGCCCTGCCTAGATCGATCCAAATTCGGTCTGAAACGAGTTTAAAGTTTGTATGATTATAATTATAATTGTATTAAGATACTTGATACTTATATTATGATAATAGTTACTCCAATGATCACCATGATACTATAATTCCGTTATTGTCAGTGTTAAGTGCGTGTGTTGTGATGATTATAGTAACAGTTAACACTGTTAACGTTCTAGTGATAGCAGGGACTCCGTACATCTTCAATAGTGTCGTGTGTCCTCTTTGTCAGTGGAACTGAAAGTGATGAATTAGAACACTTTTAAACGCTGCCATAACGTCTTTTAGCCTAACAAGGCTAACATTTGATAGTGTAATACACATAACATAGTGTAATACACATAACATAGTGTAATACGTATAACCACGCCTTACTTGAGACAAGATTTTAAATTCAACTTTTTAAATTACAGTGCGCTGTGCATAATAACAGGAATAACGTATCCAATATTATCAAAAATAACACTGATAACATTTCCATTTTGCCACAATCACACTGTATAAAACTTATTATTTATTAATAATTTATCAATCAATTAATTATTCATTACCCCAGGTTATACCAGATGGTCAGGATTACGGTGACCAGGACAGTGGCGTGTTTCTGTTCAAGTTCTGGAGGTTCGGTGAATGGATAGAGGTAAGAAATTATACATTCTTTGTTAGTAATTTATCAGTTTATTTTATTTATCGATTTAATCATGGTTTTAAATTTTAACGACTGGCTACCCCCTTATAAAATCTGAAACTGTAAACTTAGCTCGGTTCCCTCTCCCAGGTTATAGTTGACGACTGGCTGCCCACTATTGATGGCACTCTCATTTACATGCACAGCAAGGAGAATAACGAATTCTGGAGTGCTTTGCTCGAGAAAGCTTACGCTAAGTAAGTATGACCTTTAACATGGGCTTTTTTAACGGGCTTCCTTTTACTTACATAAAGTGAAACCTTATTTATATTATTAAATTAATGTATTATTAATATTATTTATTTATATTATTATTTCATTGCTGTCTTATCAAATCATTGCTGTCTTATCAAATTCATGTACGTTTGTTAATTGCTCTTGTTATCAGCATCGCACAGCCTTGCTTAAATCGAGTACAACGTGTACATCGCTACTTGTACATAATGAGCTATACATTGGAATCCCTGCATCGATTGGAGAAGGACATTCGGGGAACTTTCGATTCGTTGACTGGAGCAGCTAAGTGTAAAAACATCACTGAAGTTACGAAGCATGTTCTTATGAAAGGGAACAATGTCAGCAAAGACTCACTTGCTGGATTTGTCATGGAATTTGTTAAGATTGTAAACTGCAGCACAGACATTCTTAAATCTGCGTCATCAAATATTGACACTTTGAAATCTGATCAGATTGTAAATCAGAAACTTATGTTGGAGCTTAAGGACGAAATTATTCAGAAGAAGGACAATCATGTTCAGAAAGTTCAGGAGGTCGTCAAAACAGAAGTTAAATCGTTTAGCGACATAGTGAAGCAGAACAGTCCACAGATCCCAGGCAAAACTTTGCAAGCGGCTGTGAAATCAGCAGTTGACAATGATAATCGCAGTCGCTGTGTGATGGTATACGGACTCAGGGAGGATCCTAAAACCAATCTTGATACAGTTGTGGGAGGTATGCTTAGTGAAATTGCTGGAGCAGAAAAACCCTTCGTGAGGGAATGTTACCGTCTGGGAACTGCGAAGCCTGGCCAACATCGTCCAGTCAGAGTTTGCTTCAGCCGATCAGACTCAGTTTCTGTTGTGCTCAGTAATGCTAAGAACTTGAAGCAGTCGTCACAGTTCAATAAAACATTTCTGAGTCCTGATCGATCTCCTGAGGAGAGGCTGATACGGAGAAAACTTGTTGAATCTTTAAAAGCAAAGATGGAGAAAGAGCCAGAAAAGTATCACTTCATACGAGGAGGAGAGATCTGCACCACTGAAAGAAAAGTGACCCCGCAACACAGCACGGAAAAGAAGACGATTCCACAACACTCAGGATTCTCGATTCCGCAACATTCAGGATTCTCCACTTCGAGTAATCGTGCTGCTGGCCTCAACAAATCTTTTACGCAGGGACCATGGATTCCAGGAACACTGTCCATTAGTACTCCGATGAAAAAGCGATGAATGTCGATTTGCCGTGATTCTAGCTTTGTGTGTTATTGTGTGATTTCAATGCACGGCAATGAAGGGACTCAGGTACCACGATCTGGCAGACAAACATGTCTGAACAGACATAGCGAGTCAGATCTGGTTCAGGAAATTTTATCGTTAAAGAGATATTCATATTTCATATGAATCAATACTCAGGTTTCTAATTTTGGACTCGCCCGGGGTTTGATTATGATACTTTGAGGAATGATGTTTTTGCTGACATTTGATTTATAAGTTGATTTCAAATCCCCTATGGGTACCAGAAATACTGGTTTCACAACAACAATATTATAGTGTGAATACGGGTGGTACCTACAAGTGTACCCACATACTTACAATCAAGTTTAATTTGCCTCTAATGACCACAAATTTTATAAACACATTGTGGTCTAATCTCGTTTCGTACACCCGTGTCCTGTACACAGTAATAATATGTCTTACTGTTCACTTTCTGTTTCTAGTATTACTTAATTTGTTGGTTAAGGAAGAGGAAGAAGTGGCATTGCACAGTACACACTTTGCGTTAGAATAGCACAACTTTAACTAATGCCACTGGAGGGCGTGTTTAAACTTTTAAAGTAAAGACATAACAGCTTGCTTCAACAATACTCCAAACATGTGAACTTTTAAAAACGTAATAATCGGAAACTTTAATAATATTGGTTCATGTCTAAAAAATGGTGGGAGGACTTATAACACGGTTGCGTTTGCCACAGATTGTTATAAATAGATGTTATAAATCAAGAGGCTTGCATACCACGGTGAATATGGTGGAATATGGTGGAAATGGTGAACTAAATTTGTAAACTCGATTCACTATAAAAATTATTCACCTGGATCAGAATCCCATTCCCCTCCTTCCTAATAGTAGGCAACATCAATCTCAAGAACTACCAATACCTTATAAAAATGCGTGTAATTCAGTAACTGTGGTATTTATTAAACTTCCTATTTCCACTTAAAAGCTTCCTGCAGATCTTTCCAGAATTCCGTCCTTATATCTGAAAAATAAGATGCCTGGTAACCATTAGAAATTGGAACAGTGTTTTATTTAAAGTCTAGTGTGTATTTAGTTAATTCAGTTACTTATCCAGCATGTAAAATAAAACACGCCCTGATCAAGAGTCAATCAAATTACCATGACAACAAGCCTGTTGTACACACTTTAAATTACCCTGACATCTGAGGAAGGTAGAACTCTTGAATCTTGATTTGAGAAGCAGGAGCGACCACTCTTATTACACAGAGCTGTATTCTGTTTGTTAGCTTAATTATGTTCCTATCTGGAAATCTTTATAACAATATGGTGCCTGGTGAAAATATGGTTTTAAGTTGAAAACGCTCAAATGACCTGATGTATAAGTGTACAGACCACATTGATGATGGCCCTGGGTCCTGAGTTCTACGGAATTTGAGAAGCAAGGCCAATAAACTACTCCTTCATAAACCAATCACACAGAGATTGTTCCTTATTACCGTGCTTGTCAGGTTGCTGGAACTATTCAACTTGTAGCTTTTTAGAAGCCGGCACTATTAAGAAGTCCGCTGTATATAATACGAGTCAATGTCCTTTATTCTGTACCTTAATATTCTTTAATTTTTCTTTACTTAAAAGGTGTCAATTTTGGACATGTTATGAAGGCTAATAAGGATATTTAAACTAAAATTCTTGTTTGGTATGTGGGTTATTTTAAAAGGTAATCGTCCAATTAAGAATAATTCGTAGATAAATTTGGTGGCCTGGAAATGTTTGTATTTTAATGCAACTTAAGAAGTTGCTTATAAAAATTTTTGTAAATCAAATTTGTATCGTTGAAATCTTCAAGCACGATATAAAACATATTTACATTATTTACCAAGCACAGTTACATTCGCCCCAGATAAATATCTACAACAGCTTCTGCTCTTCTCGGTGTAAGCAGTGGGTAGCTTCCAATTTAAAAGGAAAACCCAACACCCCCCTGTAAAAAAAGCTATATAGTAAAAATATCTGCCCCGGGAGCAATTCCCCATTATTTTTTAAAATTTTTCCCCTTAAACCGTTTTCAATTTGGGTTTTAAATTTTTTTTAGGTGCTTTTTTTTAAAAGGGTTGAAAGTTTATCTTTTTTTTTTTGGGAAAAGAAATTTTTTATAAAATTGTGATAAAAATGTTTTAAAGAAAAAAACAAAAAGGTTTTTAAATTTACATTTTTTTTAAAAAATTTAGTAAAATAAAAAAACATTTTTTAAAAAAAAAGGGGAACTCAACCTTTTTCCAAATGTCCCCCCTTTTTTTAAATTTTTAAGGACACGTTAAATTTGGGGTTTTGGGGAAATTTTTGGAAAATTAAAAGTACCCTATTAAAAAGGCACAGTGAAAATTTTTTTTAAATTTTTGGCCCCCCCACACTATAAAAAATTATTTAAAACCCCTTTTTAAAAAGGGTTTTTTAGGAAAAAAATCGCCCCCTCATCCCTGGCTAACTTTGTCACAAAAGGGAAAATTTTTTTTTAAATCGGGGGGTTTAAAAATTAATCCCCCTTTAAAATAGGGCCCGGAAAAAGGGAAAAAAGGGTTTTACTTTTGTCACACTAAAAAAAACCAGGGGAAAAGGGAAAAGAAAAATATGGCCCCCCTTGCTCCCCCTTTTTTTTGACCTTTTTTTTGAGTGCCCCCCATTTTATTGGATGGGTACATAAGCCCCCTTTTTAACCTCCCATTTTTTGGGGGGACGATTTTTTTTTTCCCGTTAAAAAGGGGGAAATTTAGGTTTTACCCCCCTGCCCACAAAAATTAAAAAAAAAATTTATTTTTTGTGAATTTTTTTGGGCCCCCCCTGAAAAAAATTTGCTGAGTAATGAAAAATTTTTTTTTTGGGAGGGGCCGGGAAGGGGCCCCGGGAAAAAATTTTTTATTATATAAATAAAAAGTTGGAAAAGGGAATTTAAAAACCCAAAAAGGGCAACAAACCAACCCTTTATTTTTTGTCACACAACCCTTTGAAAAAATTCCCCTAAACATGTGGGGGGAAATTGAAAAAAAAGGGATAAATATCCCAGTTAAAAACCCCTTATTTTTAAAATTCTTAACTAGGGATAAAACCCCAACACCCCCTATTTCCCTTTGAAAACCCAGCCCCACAAAAATCATTATCATTTTTGGTAAAAAATGTTAACGGTTTTTCCCCTTTAAAAACAAACCGTTTAAAAAAATGGCCCCCAAAAATGGGGTTTAATTTCGCCCCCCACAAAAAATTTTTTTTAAATTGGGGGGGCCCCCTAGGGGGTTTAGACCCTTTTCCCCCCCCTTTCTGAAAACCAAAATTTTTCCCGGGGTTTCAAAATTCCCAGTGTCACCCCGCCCCCCCGGGGGTACCCTAAGGTTTCCCCAATCGGATCTATCCCATCCCCCTCGGTCGACTCACCCCAAATGATGGGAAAAAAAATTTTTTGTTTTGGAAGGGGTTAAATAAAAGGGGGGGTTTCCCCCTGGCCAAAAAAAAATCAAGAATCTTAGGAAAAACCCCCCTTCCCAAAAAACATCTAAAAGGGTAGTTTTAAAAAAAAAAAAATAAGGGGGGGGCCCCCCCCCGAAAATTTTCGATGCCCCCCGGGGTGGGGAAAAACCTCCCAAAAATTTTAAAAAAAATTTATAAAAAATTAAATTAAATTATCCCCTTCGGGTTTGCCCCCTTTGGGGCCCGGGGCAAAAAAACTATTTTAAACCCAAAATTTTTTTTTTGATGAAAAATTTAAACATAGTTATTCAAAAATAAAAAAGTATATTTTTCCTTTAAAAAAGGGGGGCCAAAAATTTTTTAATTTTTTTGGTCACATCCATTTTTATTTTTTTAAAAATTTTGGGGAAAATTCGCCCATAAAAATTTAAAAAATTTTTTTTTTTCGAAAGTTTGGATCATTAAAAAACTTTAAAAAAACCTGTAAAAAATCCAAATCCCAAATTTTTTAAAAAAAACACACTTTTTCTTGTTAACTTTTTTGGCCCGGGGGGTTTTGGGGCCCGGGGGAAAATTTAATTTTCCCCAACTTTTTTCGATGTCTTTGACAAAAAAAAATTTCAAAATTTAAAAAAAATTTGGGTTTTTTCTTATTTTTTCTGGAAAAATTTTCCCTTTTCCAATCTTTTTCAAAAAGGAATTTTTTTTAAAAAATTTCCAAAATGGGTTTTATAAAAATCTTAAAAAAAAGGGGCCCAAGACATTTTTTTACTTTTTTTTAAACCATCGGGTTTTTTAATAAGAATTTTTGGGTTTTAAATCCCCCCAATCAAAAATTAACAAAAATTTTTTGAAATTTTTTAAAAAATTGTTTTTTATATGGGAAAAATAAAGCACCCCCTTATCCCCAAATTTTTTACACACTACCCCTTAAAAATTTTTGGGGGGCATAAAAAAAAATTTAAATTTTTTTTCCCCCCCCCCCTTTTTTAGTGATTTTTTGGGAAAAAATTTAACCAAAAATTTGGGGTTTAAAAATTTAAAAAGCTATGGGGGCCCCTTGGACAAAATTCCCTTAATAAAAGGTATAGAATAAAAGATCTTAAAAAATGGGGGCCAAAAAACCTTTTTTAAAACTTTGCCCACTAATTTAAATTTTTAAAAAAATTTTAATTAAAAGGGGGCCCCTATTTAAATTCTAAAATTTAAATTGTTTTTTTTTCAATTTTTAAACCCGATTTTCTTTTAAAAATTTTTTTGGGGAAAAATTAAAACCATAAACCCTGTTCAAAAATTGGGCAAAAACAACATTGCCCCAATCATAAAAAAAAAATTTTCCCCCGTTTTTTCAAAACCAAAAACCCAGAAAAAAAATTTAAAATTCCCCCCAAAATTTTTAAAATTTTCATATTTTGGGGGACAAAAAATTTAAAAACCCTTTCTTTTCCCCAAAAACCCAATTTCCCCTGAAAAATTTAGCCCCCAAATTAAAAACCCAAAAATATTTTTTAAAGGGGTTTATGCTTGGGAAAAG